GAGAACAGCTCTACCAAAGAGATTATTGAGAAATGTTCTCACTTGAGCTTTGCCCATAAAAATGTGCTTTTTCAGGGACTCTCTCTCACCCACAGAGCCAACCACACGCGTTCACACACGAGCAGCTGAACACTGTGGTTTAGGATAATGTTCCTTCGCCCTCGAGTGGCTTGCCCCACCCTAGGTAAAGCAAAACGCTTATTGTGTCTTAATCTGACCGACTGGTGCAAAATGATGCGTTACGCTCTATGAAGGCACAGTTGCTTCTCCTCCATCAGATATTCAAACAGTTACGGTACACTTTCCATTGTCCAAGCCTTTGGCTTCTCTAAAGGTGCGCACATGCACTGATTTACCCGCCATAAATACGTAGACACATTCCCATTGCTTTCTGACAGAAACCCAGGAAAATCCCATTCCAAAACCAGCTTATTGCTCTGCTGATGGGCACCTTTGAAAGCCTGGTGGATCACATTACATGAATGTGTTTGGAGATGATCCCTACGTTGCTGGAATTTGGGTGAAGGGTGTGGGAAGTCTCACACTTTGGCTACATCTTCAGCACAGGTTTTTCTCCTCCTCACTCTGGTATTTTCCTTAAGTCCTGTCACCGCTGGGAAAATCTCCTTAGGCTGTTCATAAGCTCTGGAGGACCTGTTCAACATTTAGGATCTATACGCTTCTTTTAAAAACCAAGAGCAAGATTTTCAGTAGCTTTTAGGCATTTAAAGATGCTGGTGGTTTCCTAGTAAGGTCTCCAAACAATGAGCGCTGTGCACCCAGGTATTCAGAAACAAACTTCAGGGCAGAAAAGAAGACCTTCAACTTCTCTCTCTCTCAGTACATAAATAACTTTTTAGAAAAGCTGAGTAGGATGAGACAGGCAATGAGCTGAAACACTGAAGGACTATCCCAGGCATCCCTCGTGGGTCAGAACAGACTTGCCTTATAGTGACGGTATCTGATAGCGATAATCCAGCTGGATCCACTGCCAGGAGGCAGTGAGCAGTAGCAGTCGCACACATGACTCTACCACATTTCTCATCAAGACTAATTTTGTCTGATCCCTCCTTCCTTGGGGAGCAGGGGGAGAGATGAGCTGTACAGCCGGCACCGAACATGGGCTGCTCCCCAGGTACCTATGGCAGAGCCGGCACCGAACATGGGCTGCTCCCCAGGTACCTATGGCAGATCCCAAGACCCAGACAGCTCACGTGAAGCTGCCAGGGAGGTTCTGACCTCCTCCCACGAAGATGTCAGCCAAGTCCCATCTAGCCCAATGTTATCCAGTAAATAAACCCCCACCTTCCACCTCAGCTAGTCACAGGCACCAGCCCCAGCCAAAATCAATAGATGAGAAGCAATTTGTCATTTCCAGGCCACACTGTTTTGCTTATGATGAATCAAAAAACACTAAAGGAAACACAGATGTAGTGAGATCACCTCATTTTCTGGAGCCTTCCTATCTCTAGAAGTCTTGCCTGATCTCCCTCAAAATTTCCATCCGCACACACAAAAACATCTCATGCGCTGCGTAGTCACCACACCTGTTAAACCGCAGGCATGTTGCGTGACGCTTGGCAGGGCCAAGGGAGCTCAGCGCAGGCAGCGGGAGGCTGAGTTCACCCTGAGCTGCGGGCAGGCTTGAGTCTCCCCGTAGGAAATTTTTTTCAATTAGTTCAAATAGCTCCCACTCGCACACAAAGCCCAAGTTTTGTAATAAAAACAAAGAGAAAAATCACATCCAAAGGAATTTTACCTATTTCCCTCTCCACTTATTCCACTGAAGTTATCTTTTTAAAAAAACAAACCCCCCAAAACTGGCCACCAGAACAACAAAGTAGCCAAGAAGCTAACTTAATAACCTCATTCCTCAAAATCCACCCTGCTCGTCATACTTCTACATTTCAACAACAGTCCTAAATCATCCAACATCTTCCAATATTTTTTTTAAAAAGGTTTCACTGCATTTCTCTCCTCATGCAGGCAATGCTTTTCATTTAGGAGAGATGCACAGAAAGCTGCAAATTTTCCAATAGCTGGGATTTGACCTGCAAACTGAGGCAGGCGTTACCCTACAGGGCTACAGGGAGCCACAGCTGCAGCCAGTTACTCGTTGTGGTACAGAGAGGAACAGAAAGGCCAACAGAGACAAGAGTAGGGATAACTCCCCCATTCCCCCCTGCCTCCCGCCAAAAAAAAAAAAAAGGCCGCTTGGGGTCCATGTGCCCAGATGAAGCTGCAGCGGGTTAATAAATTACCACGTCCCAGCTGAGCCCCAGTAACTGATCACGCACAGGCTGTCCTCGCAGTCCAGTGCCACTGAGCTTTAAGCAGAAACGCCGCCTGCTAATGCCCTAATCCCTTAGCTCACAGCAAAGCAGCCAGCCAGGGGCAAAAAGCCACATTAAACTCGCTGGAGATGAAGCCTTTGGTGAAAGGCTTTGCTGAACAAGGACGAGAGACTGCGCTTGGGCTTTAGCTACACTCACAAACTCCCGTACATCTTGGCTCCGGTTTTCTTTGCCACATGGCAGCTGGTTACATCCAAGACCTTAAATTCTTGGGAGAGAAAGTGACTGTAGAAACTCAGCTATGCAACATATGCTCCATCTAGTGTTTATTCACTAATATTTCATTTTCTTAAATGGTTTGTTTTGCTGTTAACAAAGTTCCATCTTTTCTATAGTTCATTTGTCTATTTAGGAACATTATGGAAAATACTAACTTTCTGCTGGTTGTTTTAACTACATAACTTGAGTTTAGCCTCCTCTTACCGCTTCAGTAATGACGATACACTAATTTCCATTGAGAGAACAGATCTCACAGAGAAAAACAAAGGAGAAATGTTTTAAAAGAGCAGTGAGCGTTTCTCCAGGTGCTTTGCTAATGCAAAATGAATGGAGAACTCCGAGCAGGAGTAAAACATAAAAACTAAATGACACCCAACATTAACCACTTGATCAATCACCCTCACCACAGCACAGAGCAGCGAGACAGGCAGTTTCCCAGTCCCCCCTCAGTGCTGGAGCCAAGCTGTGCACTGGCAAGCAGAGAAAACACGAGTCCCAACTCCTGGGCTCAACTCCTGCGGCACCACTGCTCCTGAAGCTCAGCGCATCCTGCAGCTGCCCCACAGCCCACTCACACCCTCTGCCCACCGGGCACAAGTCCCTCATGGACATGTTGCGAAGTCCTACCATCCCCAGTGACTTCGAGGCCCTTTTTAGAGGCCCACTGTCCACAGCACAGTGTTGGACGAGGCAAGCGGAGCTGCTTGTTGCCCCCTTCTCCGCAAACACATTTCTTCCCCCCAACCCCACACACCTTTCACGCTTTCCCCCAGCTCTCCGCAGCAGCGGCCTTACCTGCCCAAAGCCACATCTCCCTATGGGCCCTGGGAGGACATGTCCCAACCCAGGTCAGATCACGCTGCCCCTCAAGTGAGGGGGGGTCCTCCGGTGTGCTGCAGCATCACCATGCGCAGTGGAGTTGAGCAGGTGGGATTCAAATGGGGACCAACCCCAGCAGAGAAAGGGAAAAGCTTCACCCTGCAAAAGGTTCCTCCCAAAGGCAGAAGGAACCGGGTGAAGGGGGCTCAGTGCTGAGCCACTTTGCCACAGATAGAGTGGCTTTTTTGTCCTCCCCAAGCCAGGCTGTGGGAGAAGGACAGGAACATGAGCAGGAGGCACAAAACCCCCCACTGCCTCCTCTGTCCCCCCTCAGACGTGGGTCACACCTGGGCTCAGCGGGGCCCCGCAGCTGCTGGGAGTGAGTCCTGATGAGCAGTGGGCAAAGGTCTGCTGGTGTGCCTGCGCAGTGGGGGCTCCTCCAGCAGCTCGGGTTGGGTGTAGGGCAGCTTGGCACCGTGTGCTGACAGGAAAAGCAGGGGAGTCAGGGACAGCGTCAAGCCTGGCAATTGCCACGTGCGTTTCAAAAGAACGGGACTTGCCTACGGGGCTTGGTTGTGCGACAAACTGCGAAATACTCGAACTGTAACACACAGAGAGTCTCCTCCTTACCTCAGGCTGCCCCCAAATTTGCACTCTTTTAGGAAGTTCCTGGTTGCTGATTTGCTGCTCACCTGCTACTAACACCATTACTGTAGAAAGGAAACCAAACAGCAGATGGGAGAAGTCCCAAGCTTGTATTTTGAGAAGGAAGAAAAACAAAGAAATTAAAAACCAACCCTGTTCCGTTGTGTTAGCGGGGTTGGTGAGGCACTGGGATGTGGGATGCTGCCTGGGGAGGCAACAGGATCTGCAGCAGGGGAGACCTTTAGAAAATAGTTGGACATCCCAGGAGGAAGGTGAGGGTTGGTTGATCCTGCCCAGAGGCATTGGTGGCCCAGACAGCCCCTAGATGGCCCTGTTCTTCTGGGTGAAGGCTGAGAGGATGGGAGCCCCGCTCAGGAGAAGAGCTGTCGAGGAGCTGTGATAGGAACGGAGAGCCCCTGGACTTTGCAGCCACGGGGCACAACCCTAGGCACAGATTTAAGCTGCAGAAACTGAGCTTTCATTGCTATGGAAAGCATCGCAGAAGGCGCGTTGATAATTTAGCTTCCTTGGGCAGAAAGCATTTAAGAGATTCCCACATGCCCCTTCCTGCTCTCCCCCTGTGCCGCAGCTTGCAGCAGAGCCCCCCAAACCTTGAGTGGTGGCACTGATGCAAGTGAGATATAGGCAAACTGCAGCTTGGGGACGGGAGGGAGCGGGCCCCCGTACCAAGAAACCACAGAGGGCACCACCTGGGGTGTATAAAACTAAATGCATATAAGTACATTTGCTGTAATAGTACTATTTGAGTAAGAGCCTCCTGTAAACCAGGTACAGCCCTGCTGCAGGATGTCCTCCAGGGCAACACATAAACCAGAGCCAGTTTGCAGAGGTTTAGGTACAGTTTGCTGCAGAAAATGGGAGTAGGTTGTCCCCAGAGGAAAACACACAACATGAAAAAACACTTTCTGCCAACTCTGGGTTTTGCTGTGTTTTTTGTAGGTGATGGCCGTGTTGCTCATCCCTGTGCAGCTGCTGGCAGTGGCTGTCACCATTTACCTAGAGCTGGTGAGGTCTACTCAAGGAGGTGTCTACTATGGGATCAAGCAGCTACCACCCCAGGTGCCCCAGTACCAACCCCTCGGACAACAAGTACCTCACATGCCGCTGGGCAAAGAAGGCATCCCGATGCAGCACATGGGAAAGGAGATGCCCCACATGCAGTACGGGAAAGCGTACCCCCATCTGCCTCAGTACATGAAGGAGGTCCCGCAGATGCCTCTGCTCGGCAAGGACATGGCTCCTAAGAAAGAGAAAGGTAGGCTCGGCATGTCCCTCACCACCCCTGCATGGTCCTGCCTGGTGCCCCACAGCACCATCTGCCCGGGGGTAACTGAGGATGGGGAGCAGGCTGCTGCAGGCTGGTACCTGGCCACGATTCCACAAGACAGGCTCACATGAGCTGTGGGGCAGCTTGGGGTCACCAGAGCAAGGCCATAGTCATCCCCGGGGCTGCAGCACCGTCTCTGAGCAGCCCTACCTGTGATGAGCCTCCAGCACCCGGGGCTGGCCTCAGGTTTGTTTGGGTGGTTGTTGGAGGGTAGGAGAAACCTCGTAATCCCACCCACCTGCAGAAAACCCTCTGATGGGGTTTCAAATGATGGCCCAGACAAACAGGCCAGGGTCCTGCCTGGAGATGATCCCATTCTCGCTGCAGCAACCAGACATGAAATAAGAGCTAAGAGCCCCAAAAGTTGAATTTACGGGAATATCACAGTTTTGTCTGGATTTGTCCAGACCCTGCGATTTAGAGGTTTGCAGATAAAAACATAAAATTGCTCTTCTGTCTCTGCAGTCCTCTTTCTGTAGGTTATTTGTGGGACTAACTGAGGCACTGGAGGTACAGGACATTACTGCACGAGTCTGCACGTACAAGCGCTTTCAGTATTCAGTAAAGGAAGTTTGGACAATATTAAGATATTTAAGAAAACAACAAAAAATGTCCAAAATACAAAGGGCAACCAGGAACACCCAGTGTCATAAAATCCTTGTGGAGTCAGTGAGCGTCTGTGCGACTTCAGACAAGCTGATTAACTCTTTGTCTCATTGAGGGTTCTGGGTAACCACAGCCTCCACTGGCTTCAAAGGGAAATGGAAGATTTCAGGGCCTATTTTTGGAGTGTCTGAACAAGCACAACTGGCTGTAGTAAAACCAACCCGTCTTGTGAGCAAAGGAGGCTTTCTACGTGCATAAAACACAACATGTGCAGAGAGGGCGGGTTCCTGCCTCCCAAAGAACAGTTAATTCTCTCACCCTGAAACCTCATCTCTCCCCTTCCCCCAAACATCTCGCTTCTTTACCCATTTTAGAGCCAGAGAGAAGCAGACTTTCCACTTAACACAAAAAGCCTGCAGCTTGAAAAGCAACCAACCCCAGCACAACCACTCCCACGCAGCAACTTGCGCACCCTGACCTGCAATGCTAAGTGGTCACATACACAAAAATGTGGGTTTGGACTATAAAAACATTTTGTGACACGTTTAGAAGACCTCTAACTGGATGTGGCTACGCTAAAAACCTGTGGGAGCTTGGCAAGGCTGTAGGTTTCCAGTAATATCTGAACGGGAACCAAAGCCTTGGTGAAAATGCAGCTGTACTGACGTACAAACTTCTTACTGATATGATCTTTTTTGATTGATCTTGCTAGTGTAAGCCCCTCCAGCAAAAGCACTTTTATGCCAGAACTCCTTCTACAGCACAGGAGCACGGAACAGCTTCTGTGTCCTGCAAAAACTCTTAGAAGTACATTAGCCTTCAGCAATACGGTAGAAAAAGCAGATTTCACCACTTAAGATTGTACAGGTAGAAAACACTAGTAAAGCGCAAATGGCTTTTTGCATGGCAAAAAATATAAGTGAATATGATGCGAAACAACTATTTTATGGAAACAGAAACATGCACATGAGTTTGGGGTACACAGAACAGTAGGTTCTTCGTTCCAAACACCAACAACCTGTGACTCGCTCACCCGCTCTGCCTCCCTGCCCACCACGAAACCGAGGCACCATAGCAAGCACATCCAATTCAAAACTGCCTTTGTGTTTCTTGAAGCATTTCAATCACCTTCTGTCTCTCCCCTTTTCGTTTTTTTTTTCCCTTTCTCCAGAAATGCCCATGCGCAGTCTGAGGGGTGAGCAAGGTCCCCCCGGTGAGCCTGGACCAAGAGGGCCACCAGGGCCACCAGGATTACCAGGTCACGGTGTGCCAGGAGCCAAAGGAAAACCAGGCCCGCAAGGATATCCAGGAATTGGGAAGCCGGGTTTGCCGGGGATGCCGGGGAAACCAGGTGTCATGGGGCCCCCGGGGCCGAGAGGGGAGATGGGGCCAAAGGGGGAGATTGGGCCCATGGGGATACCTGGGCCTCAAGGACCGCCGGGGCCTCACGGCCTTCCTGGCATAGGCAAAGCAGGTGCTCCAGGGCTGCAGGGACAGCCGGGACCGAAGGGCGAGCCTGGGATGAAGGGTCCCCCGGGAGCCCCCGGGATCCCAGGGCCAAAAGGGGAGAAGGGCGTTGGGATCCCGGGTTTGCCGGGGCTGAAGGGTCCGCCTGGGCTGCCCGGTCCCCCTGGCCCCGTGGGGCTGCCGGGGGTCGGCAAGCCGGGCATGGTCGGCTTCCCCGGCCCGCAGGGACCCCTGGGCAAACCCGGACCCCCAGGAGAACTGGGGCTGCAGGGACCCCCGGGGGCCCCCGGGATCCAAGGCCCTCCCGGCCTGCCCGGCGTTGGCAAACCAGGCCAGGACGGCGTCCCAGGCCAGCCAGGCTTCCCGGGTGGCAAAGGGGAGCAAGGCCTGCCAGGCTT